CGTGTAGCGCACATAACCTGCATTACATCCGCTTTTTCTTCTTTCTCGCCTCTTTTCACTGCGTGCAGGAAGGCGAGACGTCATAAACAAGCCAATGTTGTGTTGGTGAACTTCAAAACATAACGCACCAGGTCCAGTCTACGTCATTGTTGTGTACACGTCTCAGCTGTTCCGGGACGATAGACGACCGGACGATACACGACCGACACGATACACGACCGGCACGATATACCACTAACACAATATACGACTTAAACAAGCACGTTACATATCTGGCACAAAAAACGACCGACACGATACACCACCGACACGACATGCGGCTTACACAATACACACTGAACAGACGTCACAAAACGACCAACTTGGTGGATAATAGGTACGATACATCGCCAGAACGATACACAACCGTCACGATACTCGACTGAGACGGTACGCATCCGACACGAGACACGACACTGTTCTCGGAGCGGACAAGACCTTGACCCTCACACAAAAGTTTGTCAACACTCAAAGCGTCGTTTCTCTCAACTCGCGGGAGACCCGCTTCATGATGCTCGACACGATGTGTGTGTCACACTTCTCCGTGCCTACAACAATCTCGCACACGACCGGGCTTTCAGACCAGGATTCAGAATAGAAGTATTTCCCACATTGGTAGCTGTTCCTTTTTCAGAAAAGGTGTACTTCCCACAATTGTTGCTGTTCCTTTTCAGAAGAGCGGTATTTCCCCGCTTTGCATCAGTCACTTTACTTTCTGACGCTGTTCCATGATACACGTACGACGTTCATTATGGACCTTCTTCAACAGCAAAGTTTTGCCATGACAGAACAAGGAGAGACACGGAGAGGTACAGTTGCTTCATGCATGCGTATTTCACGCACCGTTTATTCTAGTTCGAGATTGTACTCCTTAATTGGCACATAGGGAACATTTGAAACCCCTTGTGAAAAATGTGTGTGCCTTTTTAAAAATCATAAACTTGTCCCAGCTTCTTATTTTACTCGTTGACTGTTAAATGAACTTGCGTCCGTCGAAGGCGAATGGTGTTAGATATCTATATCTTTTACTCTCTCTTTTTCTATCCTTTGAATATATACCTTACTCAAAAGTGAAGTCATAATACATGTATACATATGTTGGCCCTCTTCTTATATTATATACAATTTGGAGCCTTGTTCAGCTAACTTATTGCAGAATTATTGACTTAAGTTATTCTCTTCTATCAGACATAAGATTGACGTAAAATTATTCTTTTCAATCAGAGACCAACCCATTATATGTAGTCTGGCACTGACTCCAAGATGAGGACTAAATTCGTGGCACAGTCGACTTTGACTGTTTGGATAGTACACACAATGTGTGTGTGTGTGTGTGTGTGTGTGTGTGTGTGTGTGTGTGTGTGTGTGTGAGTGTGTGTATGTTTGTGTATGTGTAAAGACAAGAAGGTGACTGTGGGATTTACTGTTTTAGCCCTCTCCAAAGTAAATGAATGTCCTTTCAAGCGTAACAAGAGAAAAAAAAACCCACTAAAAAACTAAAATAAAAAACCCACCCCCACCACCACCAACAACAACAACAAAAACGTTGGCTTCCTCATAGTATGTGCCACCGATCAACTGTAAAGAAATTAGACGTTTCAAATCGAAGATCAGAAACATGATAAAGCATGGCTCTAACTTATTAAAGTTCAAGTCAAGTTGTCGAAATACACAAAATAAAGTGTGCAGTGGTCATGATTTTCAAATAATTTCCTTTTGTTTTAAGACAATGGGTTTGAAAATGTAAAACGGCTTTGTTTTTGCTTTGGTACGCGTTTTACGGCCCTCGCAACTGCATACGGTCATATAAGTGTGCGCTACACATTGAACATTTTTCAATTTGGTAGGAATCAATTTTGAATTTTGCCCGGGTGGCGGCTGAAGCCTACTCTTATCGATTTTGGACCACCAATGGATCGTTAACGTACGCAACTCGCACACGGGGCCTCCGATGTTTTTTCCCCTGATTCGAGAGGGCTAGGTGTTAGATCTTACCTACCCTAAAATCTTCACTGCGGCTGAGAAACAGTACATGTAGTAAGAAGGAGCCAAGGAGTAGCAGTAAAAAGGATGCATAGAGAGTCAGGAGGCTGAGGAGGAGGAGGGGCTTTCGTGCTCTAGAGGTAAAGGTGTTGGCCTCTCATTCAAAGGTCCTGGGTTCGAATCCGGGTAGTGACGGAAACATTTTCTTCCCTAAAAGTGTCTCCTTTCACCTCCTTTCCTGTTCTCTAACAGTGTTCTGTCGTCTGCTTTCGTCTCCTCTTTCTGCCCTCACCCCCTCACCTCCTTTGCCTCCTCCTCTGGGCTCCCGACCCTTTCTGCAGCCTTTCTACTCCTACTCCTTGGCTCCTTCTTACTGCTGTCTTTCAGCCACACCCCTGATCTCATGGTAGGAAAGATCTACACCTAGCCTTCTCGGACAAGGGCGAAAAATCTCGGAGGGCCCGCGTGTAAGTTGCGCACGTTAAAGATCCCTTGGGGCATCTTAAATCGATAAGAGTAGGCTTCGGCCGCCACCAGGGCAAAATTCAAAATATCCAAAAAACCGAAAAAGTTTAATGTTTCCCGCGCGCTTATATGACCTTATGCAGTTATGAGCGCGCAAAACACTTACCAAAAATAAAATAAAAAATATAAAAAAGAGAAAGGGG